ACATAGGTCATATATGTATGGTTTGGAAAGATTGTTTCACTTCCCTGAAGTGTGGTGGGGAATCATGGTTTCACATGAATGCAACCATTAAGCATCAGTTTTGGCAATGGAGGACTTCCAGATGTTCAGTACATGGTTAGCTGTGCCCTATTTGTTTACTTTTAACAATCTATACCATTATGGTCAAGCTTTTCCTAATGGGTGACATTTACAGCGCTTCCACCTTGTTACTATAAACAATCCTGCAATAAACTTCACACACATGCATACACATACATGCAGACACAAAAATATGCATGCACATATGAAATTTTGAATCAGCATTTATGGACATTAGTGTTTTCTGGTGGACCAGTTGTCTAGGATGTAAAGTGCCCTGGGCTTCATTTGGATTTTTATATTTACCACCTGACATCAGATTCAGGCGATAATTCCCAACTATGCCAGCCACATGATCTCCTCTCTGAGTTCTCTCTAGAGTCTGGGAATTCCATCCAGAGTTAGTTTTTGCTTTATGAAGGAAGGGCCAGGGTCCCAGAGAGAATAAATGACTTATTCAAGGTCACAACCAAGAGTTCTGAATTCAAACTCTTTGTTCTCCTATGTCCACAGACACCATCCCCCCCACCCCCCACCCCACCCCCCGCCATGCACACCTTCCCTGCCACAGTGGCCCAGACCCTCAAACCATAAACCAAACTAACCACATGCACACAGAACCCCTAATGCATGCCTTCCCTGCCGGTGTCTCAAACCCTGGAACCATGGGCCAAGCTAAGCAATTCCCCTTTAAACTTCTTGTCTGGTAGCTGGCCCCAGCAAGGACGAAACTGACACACACTGTGGACCTCACGAACGATATCTCAACAAACAGATCCTGGAGGCGTTAACAGGCTAAACTCACCCACATCCAGTGAAGGTTTAGGTAAATATCACAGTTCTGAGTTTTACAAAAACTACCCAAAGGACCTGAAAGAACTTTTTCTTGGCTGATTGCATGTACTTGAGAGAAGCCATTGAAAACACACAATAAAACACAGAGCAGGAGGCAGAACACTAACCTCCTGAGACGCCGGTGGACACCAGGAGGAGCAGAGGGAGGAGACAGCGAGCTAGAGGGAGAACTGGGGAGCCCTTCATCTCCAGAGGGGAAGGTCAAGGCCAAGTTCACCTGTAGGAAGGCAGCAGGTGGAGGTTCTCAGGAAAAAACCCCAGTTCAAAGGCTTAACATTATGCACAGGTTTCTAATAGTGTTTCCCACAAAACCTTAAGACAAGACCCGCCAACCCCACACCTCCCCAGGGCCCTTCCCATCTTCTCTTTATTCTGAAGGCCCATAGTTTCCTCACAGGCATGGGAAACTGCCAAGCATTTTCTGTGCTGGGGGGAGGGGAACTTTCTTGCCTTTCTGTGGGTCCATGGTCTCACAGGGGACCTCGGAGCTGAATTCCCTGAGTTCAGTGTAGGGCAGCGAAGTCACACAAGGAAGAAGACTACTCCCACAGCCAGTCTATCCTTACTTCTTTCATTTGTTTATTTATTCTTTTATTTGTTCATTTACTTATTTCCCAATAAAGGGACCATTTCTCACTACATCCTCATGACTTCAATCCCCCTTTCTTCAGGCCCACACCTCCCTTGGACAGACCGCTCACAGGCATGAACTCCCCACTCACCGTCTGGACAGTGCTGTGGGTCCCTGGGAGCTCCTGGGATCCTCAGTGAGTGATCTAAAGTCTGCTCCTGGAGACCGTCTGCGCCTGTGTTACTGTGATCAGCACTCAAGGGTGTGGCTGCTGGGGCCAGGGTGTCGGGTTTTCAGAGGCGTTCTTCACAAGGAGGGCACAGGGTTTCCCCCAGGCTCTGGCTTTAGAGTTTCTCCCAGAGAAGTCTAGGAGGAAGCCGCAGCCATCTCCAGTCCTTCCTTACTTCAAGAGTGGAAATAAAAGCACAAGGGACTTTGCACTGGGCTGAGCCGTAGAATGATCGCGACTGAACCACTTTGGAGACTTCTCACCGTAAGCTGCCTCCTACATTACCAGGGAGAGGCAATCAGGTCTGATGTTCAGATCTGAGGGTCACTAGCATGGTTAACTGATTTAGAGACTAAGGTCAAGCATGCCTCCCCTACTCCATGACTGACTTCAGTATGTGTAGAGCCTCGGTTACATGAACAAGACCACGTCTGACAGCAGACCAGAGGTCTCTGCCAACTCTCAATAGACTTGCATTTTAAAAAACGTATTTCATGTGTATGGGTGTGTTGTCTGCATGCGTGTGCACCACATATGTGCAGAGTCCATGGAGGGCAGAAGGGGATGCCAGATGCCCAGACCAGCGTTACAGGCAGTTGTGACTAGACCTGGGCCCCCTGCAAGAGAAGCCAGTGCTCCTAACTACCCAGACATCCCTCCAGCCCCCCAGTTTTGCATTTTCATACTCTACCGTCTATTGTCACCCCTTGGCAACTGCTGGAAATCACACGGTCTTAGCGAATATCTCCATTTAAAAGGGAATCATTTTCTTCAAATGGTTTCTCCTGAAAGCTTATTTTTTGTTTTTAAGTGAGCATGTGATACATAAAATTTTGTTAGAAAATCTCTGTCTGTACTTGCTTCATCTTGTAAGTTTCTTATGACCTGCTTGTGGATGTTCAGCCTTAGATCCAGAATTTCAAGGGTATAAATTAGTGTTTTCTTTCTTCCCTTTTAAAGAATTATTTTATTTTTAATTATGTGTGTGTTGTGCATCTCTCTCTCTCTCTCTCTCTCTCTCTCTCTCTCTCTCTCTCTCTCTGTGTGTGTGTGTGTGTGTGTGTGTGTGTTTGTGCACATGAGCACAAGTGTCTTTGGAGTCCAGAGAGGCCATCAGATCCCATGGAGCTGGAGTTACAGGCAGTTGTGAGCTTCCTGACGTGGGTGCTGGGAATCAAACTCAGGTCCCCTGGAGCAGTATGTGCATTTAGCCTTGAGCTATCTCTCCAACTGTCATTCTGAGCAGGAACGTTAATTGTTCCGGAATTCACCGGCTTGAAGGACAGGAAGCTTTTCTCTCCTTGCTCAGGACATGGGAGTGAGACAGAAGGGCCCAGCTGATGACTGTCCATGCTGTGTATACTGGATGAGGCAGATTTAATCAATGTCCATGGAGGGCCTGGGTGAATGAGAATCAGAAAGTTGAACCGTGTTCATGAGAGAACTGACCAGGAGGTGACAATGTGTGAAAGCATCAGATAAATTCATGGGCCTGGAGCAGACATTGTGAGAGAACTTGCTAGCATTTGGCTAAAAGGCTGTGCTGTAGATACCCTTGTTTCTCATATGTGGTGAAGGAATATACCATCTCAGGAAGGGGTCAGAGGTCTCCGGCAGTCTCAGAACTGATCTCAAGATTATCACAGCACTTGCCATTATCTTTATCAGGTGACTGAGATCAGAGTACACGGCCAAGTCTGACCTTTAGAACTTTAGAAGCAGTTGGTTGGTTGTATAACGTGCTTATCTTCTGCTCACTTAACCTGGTTGGTTAATTATGTATTTACACTTACTTATCTTCCATCTGCTCCCTGAGCATCCTTTGTTGTTCTTTTCTATGGCCAGCCCGGGCTTTCTCGTTTCTACTTTGGACTCCCACGGCTGTTCTTTCAGGAGGTTGAAGTCTACTTAGAGTTGGTTCTTGCTTCTTCTGCTCGATCTGTCCCACTTCCCTCAGGACCAAGTTCATGCACATGTTTTCCATTTCCCTAAGAGCGTGTGGCAGTGCTCCTCAGACAACTCTGGGGAGACCGATTGTGCCACAGGGTGTTTGCTGTTGTCCAGAACATTGTCCTCCTTAACTGGACATGGTATGGTGGCAAATATTACTGGAGGGATTATAATTTTTAGTTAAAAAATGATGTAGTCAAATTTCATGATGTTTCCTCCATCTAAGAAATGGGGGAGTGAACCCAGGAGAGTTTATATGAGATTTAAAGGCAAACTCATATGCACTCTTAAAATGAGCATGTCCATCATTTGGGGATACTGGGCCCTTCCTGAGTCCTTCCTGTGTCCTGGCATTGCTGTTATGTGGGTGCTGGTTACATGGGTCCCACTTGTAAGGACATGAAGATGAGACGTGATGGGAGGAGAAAAGGAATAGATTGCAGATAAAAATGGAAGCCACTAGGACTCCTTTGTGGACTCACCCAGTTGCTTTTATTGTTCACGTAATCTCCACTAGGGCATTAAAAAAGCTAATTTAGGGATGAATTACAGAGTGTGGCCATTTGGATGAGAATGCCACAGCTTGTATGCTTGGATGCTTAGTCCCAAGTTAGTGGAACTGTTTGGAAGGACTAGGAGGTGTGGCCTTGTGGGAACAACTGTCGCTGGCCTGGCTGGGCCTTGAGGAGTCAAAAGTCCATGCCTCTCCTCGTTAGCTCTCTTCATCATCCTTGTGGCTCAGATGTGAGCTCTCAGCTGCTGCCCCAGTGCCAGCCTGTTGCCATGCCCCCGCCATGATGACATCATACTCCCACCATGATGACATCATGCCCCCACCATGATGACATCATGCTCCCGCCATGGTGACATCATGCTCCCACCATGACGACATCATACTCCCACCATGACGACATCATGCTCCCACCATGATGACATCATGCTCCCACCATGATGACATCATGCTCCCACCATGACGACATGGACTCTAACCCTCTGGAACCATGAGCCCCAGATGAAATGTGTTCCTTTATAAGTTACCTTGGTCATGGTGTTTTGTCACAGCAATAGAATATTAACAAATTTTCCTGTCATCTTTCTGTTACCCTTCCATGACCCAGCTGCAAACATGCTTGGATAGAGACCACAGGGCCCGGCTTTGGCCTAATCTTTTGTTTATTAAAAATTATTTTTATTTTATTTGGATGTTTTGCCTGCATGTATGCCTGTGCACCAGGTGTGTGCCTGGTGCCCTCAGAGGCTAGAAGAGGATTCAGATCCCCTGGAACTGGAGTTAGAGACGGTTGTGAGCTGCCATATGGGTGCCGGGAGTAGAACTCAGGTCCTCTGCAAGAACAGCCAGTGCTCTTAACGCTGAGCTACTTCTCCAGCCCCTGCTCTGATTCGTAGAGTAGGTGCTGGGTCTTCTGGGACTGTGACTCACAGTTAGTCCTTTCTCTGTGGAGAAAGAAAAGAAGCCCTCTCCTCCCACCTACAGGTGGGGTGCTTCGTCCCCCTGGAGCTTCTGCATTGGAAGTTTCTAGAAAAACCCATCCAGGTCTCAGACGAGTGACACTTCTCTCCGGATCTAGGCTCCCCTTCTTGTATCCTCACGATGGGTCCAGAAGACGGTGGGATAAGGCTGCTGTGCACAGGCAAGGGACAGCAGAAAGATGCAGAGGGAGAGAAGATGTCATCACTGTGTGACACCAAGGTGGCGATGGGCGATGGGCTGCCTCCGGGAGAGGTGTCCCCTCACTGTGAGCAACAGGAGTGGGTCCTGCCCCATGAAGAACCCCTTTGGACAGCAGCAGGAGAGGCCATTCCTGTCAGGGCAGTGCGCTCATTGAGGGGAAAGGGGAAAGGAAGAATGGGGTGCTCAGGAATGGGGTGCACCGGGCTTGCATGGTGCACACTCAGAAATGGGGTGCACCGGGCTCACATGGTGCACACTCAGGAATGGGGTGCACCGAGCTCGCATGGTGCACACTCAGGAATGGGGTGCACCGAGCTCGCATGATATATATATATATATATTTAACCAGAGCTTCTTGTCAGAGGGAAGTCCTCGTGTGGCTTTCATCATTCTTGAGATTTTGCTGATTGCTGTGGTGTTTTTTGGTCTGGAAGGAAGCACAGAAGAGAAGGAGATTACAGAACGTCAAGGGTGAAGAGAAAACGGAGAGGACGTGCTGGAGTCAGACAGAGCGGTGTTCGAGGGCTTCCAGCTGTGTGTAGGACTGGGATGAATGGAGCCCCGAACCTCTACAGGAAAGCACACAGCAGGATTCAGCGGAGAAAAAAGGTCACTGGGTGTGGGAAAACAAGAGCACAATTGTCAGTTAAGATACGTTTGTGGATCTCGGTAATAGAAGAGGCGAGTCACATCTGTGAATAATAAATAATATAAACTAGAAATAAACGCTAGACTTCTGCCCTGAAAAATGATCTTTAAATCTGGCTTTGCTACTATAGAAACAGTGGAGAAAGAACTGGGGAACTGTCCCCCCTCTGCCCTTATGGTGGAAGAGGCATCCTTGCCCATGCTGTACTTGGAGTCTTACAGGCTGTTCTTCCTTTTCACTGCAAAGGAAGACATTGCATCAACAAGATGTCCCCTCTCCAATCTAACACCATGGTCATCACGGCTCTGCCTTAATCTCCTCCTGTTTATTTTTTGGTGAGAGGGTTCTCCATCCAAGCTAGCTAAATAAGACCAAATGCTTGACACCAGTAGTGGACACATTATTAGTCACCTGCACTCATGGCCTGGGGTGCGAGGACATGGTCTAAGGCCTGGACATGCAGGAACACAGGGTGGCACTTGGGGGCCCAGGGACCCACAAGAGCTTCAGGAGGCGGCTCTGTGGTAACTGGAGGCTGAGATGGCCCCTGGTTTCCAAGAAAGTATGTGACTAGTTTGAGTTATTTGTAGGCTGACAGAGAGTTGGAGCCCCAGAAGTTGGGGGCCAGATAGGGTTTTGTTCACTTGACGGAAGGCTTTAGCGGATGGGGGCTTTCCTGCTTGGCAGTGGGGTGGGATAATGGGTGAGAGCAGGGCATCGTGGTTGGGCATTGGCAAGGCAGTACAAGAAGCCTGAGGCTGAGCAACTCTCCTGAATTGGAGTTACAGACAGATGTGAGCTGCCCAGTGGGTGCCGGGTCCTCTGCAAGAACAGTCAGAGATCTTAACCCCTAAGGCACCTCTCCAGCCACAGGTAGTTAGCGCACAGCGATAGATTCTAGTGTGACATTTTCTCCACAGATGTCACTATACTCTGCTGTTTTCTTTCTTCTTTCCCCATTGCCCATCTTTGTCTCCTCTTCCAACTTCCTCTAAAAATTATTTTTTCTTCTCTATAACTATTTTCCTGCATGTATGTCTGTGAACCATGGCATGTCTGGTGCTTGCAGAAGCCAGAAGAAAGCATTAATCCCCTGAGACTGGAGTTAGAGATGGTTGTGAGCCGCCATGTGGGTCCTGGGAACTGAACTTAGGTCCTCTGCAAGAGCAACAGGTGCTCCTAACTCCAAGCCATCTCTCTGCCTCTCTCCTAACCTCTTTCTGGTTCCTCTTCTCCCCCTGTGCTGAGGTATCCTGACATCATCGTCATCATGAGGCCAGCTGAGGCCGAGAGAGTTCAGTCACCATGATCCAAGTACCAGAGGAGGGATGCAAACCCAGATCCAACGGAGCCTCGGGTTTCAAGCCCTGCGCCATTGCTCTGGCCCCCAAGTTCTTGTGTCTAACCCCATTGCTGTTGTATCTGTGAACTCCAAGCTCACTCATCGCTGAGCCTGGATGGCAGGAACGTATGCCAGGACTCTCGTGACCCATCAGTTGCTGAAGAATGACCCAGTGCCTGTCCAGTCCTGTTCACCCACGTACCTTTCGGACGGCGCTTCACCTTGAGCAGGTCAACAGCCATGGCAAGAGGCAGCACCAGGACGGGCAGGGCCATCCACAGCAAAGCTATCTTGGAGTCTGAAACGCAAGCCCCAGTAAGTCATGAGACGAGGTAAATATCAAGATGGCTCTGTTCCCAGGAGCAGCCTGAGGACCGGGTCTCTCCAGGAGTCTGCTGGTTCAGTTTCCCTGCTCCACAGAAGCCAAAGGGGAGCAGGCAAGTTTGGCTTTGGTGCCTCCCACCCCCATTTTCCTTCTCTTTCCAGTTGTATCATTGTGTCACAGAGCCATTGGAGTAACTAGTGTGGAAAAGTCTCCCAGGCTATAACCACCAGGGTTTTGAGGAAAATTAATTTCTTGTGGTGAAATAAATTCACTATTGTTGAATTTATTTGAGAGAGAGAGAAAAAAACTCAGAGAAATGTTGTTCCTAAGTGACCTGAGGACAAACTTTGCAAGCGACATAGATTTATTTTTTAAAGATTTATTAAAAAAAACAACAACAACCCACCTGAGAGAAAAAAATAAAGTAGGAGGAGAAGAAGAAAAGAAGAAGACAAGAGGAGAAGGGGGAGGAGGAGGAGGAGGAGCAGCAGCCGCCGCCACAGTGGGCTGAGTGTCGGGTTCGCACCCGTAAACCCAGCACTTGTGATGTGGAGGCAGGAGGATCAGAAGTCCCAGGCCAGCCTGAGCACGTGAAACCTCTCCAAGAAAAACCACAGATCCCTGTGAATCAGTCTCAATCCGTTCGGCACTTATTTCCCACGCCAGAGGAAAGCATGAGTCACCAACCTGAGAGAGGAAACCGCGCAGCCTTCTCCTCGCCCCCAGTGAGGCTGATGGAGCAGGTCACATTCACCACGGAGTTGTTTGTGACCAGCAGGAGCGTCTCCACCTGGAACAGCCCCTCGCTCTCTTGATGAAAGGCCTCGGAAAACGATGGTATTGCCTTTCCGTCTCTGCCCCTCCACTGCACGTGGGGCCGTGGGAACCACCCATCCGATGCGCACCTCAGCTGCACGCCTCCATCCTTCAGGACCTCCTGGGTGATCCGTGGGGTGGAACCCACCGCTGGGGACAGAGACCAATGAAGCAGAGATGAAGCCTTCGCACGTGTGTGTGTGTGTGTGTGTGTGTGTGTGTGTGTGTGTGTGTGTTAAGCAACTTACCTCTCCCCAAATGTGTGCTGTGCTCGAGACATTGAAATCAGTGTAAATACATGTGCTCTGTGACTTGGAAAAAAAAGGGGGGGCAGGTAAGAGCATTTTGGGGAGAACAGCTGAGCTCATAGCCGAGGCCTCCTCTGGGAACTGGGGCTGACTACAGGGTTTCTTGTTCTGTTTTTCCATTTTCTTTTCTTTTTTCTTTTTTTCTTTTTGGTTTTTCGAGACAGGGTTTCTCTGTGTAGCTTTGCTCCTTTCCTGGATCTCACTCTGTAGACCAGGCTGGCCTCGAACTCACAAAGATCCGCCTGTCTCTGCCTCCGAGTGCTGGGATTAAAGGCGTGCGCCACCACCGCCCGGCTATTTTTCTATTTTCTATTCCAAAGTCTTCTGAGACAGATTAGGAGGTTTGTTTTTTTTTTAACCTTGACTTCCTATCTCTTTCCTCCAGCCCTGACAACAAAGTTGCTTTGATCAGACATGAGACACATGGACAGCGTGGAAGAAACTGGGTAGAAGTTTCTCAAAGCAGAGGCAGAAAGCAATGTAGAAATCCTCCAGGCATTTCACGCGCCTGCTCATTAATTTAGGCTGGGACTTGGAGGGAGAAATACGAAGGATAGCCAGGGTTTGGGCCTATGTCCTTGACGACATCTGCTGACCTTGGAGAGCTGTTCTAGGGGTGATTTCTGTGTGCCGTCCTCTGAGCACACTCAAACTGTCAGTCTTCACAGATTCTGTGTGTGTGGTAGATCGAGCTGAGTCTTCAAATTACCACACTTCCTGGAAATTACATAGTTCCCAGAATCTCAGTAGCACTGGGAAATAATAAGTCTTACATAAAATTATGGGGAATATTCTCAGATTGCCCAGAACCCATGGCTACTTTATGGAGGTGCTTGAGAGTGCTACTTTTCTGATTGTTCTATACTTAAAAATTTAAACCACAGGAAATGCCTGGTACTGCCAGACTGGCCAAGAACTAGAGGTGGTGAAGCTTGTAGCCCCAAGGGAGACTCCTGCTGTCATTTTGTTAAGTAGTATCAAACCGCCTCCCAGATTCTTTATCTCTGCCCCCATAGATTAATACAGCTCTAGGACCTCATCAGAGAAGTGTCTTTGTGCAGTGGATGGTGGTTAAGACAGAGACAACTGTCAAAGTGCAGGGAGGTGTCGGGGGCTGCTCAGATACCCACAAATGGGATATCTGTATCCTACCACCCCCCATGGCTGAGCGGCCATCACAGAAGAGTGAAGCAGAAAGATGGTAAGGGTCAGAGCACGGTACTGAAACAGTGTCTGAACGTGACAGGACCACTGTATTCAGGAATCCATAGCTGTGCCGTGGTTGCCTACGCCAGACCTCACAAGATCAAGCCCGTCAGCATTTCAGCAGGGAAGTGGGAGGGCATCATGAGCCACACCCCTAGCTGAGGCGCTACGGACAGTTGATAGCTTCAGGGAAGGGGAGAGTCAGTTCTCTTTAAGGGTGTGGCTCCTGGTAGGCTGACCATGCTCTAGCGGATGGTTCCACACCCATGAGCACAAACTGGAGTCGATGAGTTATTAAATAAAAAAAAAGAGGATAGAAGTTGGGGGGTAGAGAAGGGAGGGTAGATCTTGGAAGAGTTAAGTGGGGGTGTGGGTTGGAGGGTGACTATGATCAACATACATGGTTTGAAAATCTCAAAGAACTAGTAAAAATATTTATTTAAAAACTTCAAATCAGGTTGCCTGAAGTTGTGATCTTGAAGAATCTGCGGTGGTTGCTGCACTAAAAGTTCAATATAAGTTTGAAAATGAATGAGCACGGAGAACACTTTGGGAGCCAGAGAAATCTCCCAGGAACCAGCATATGTCACAGTGTTAACCTGGAATTCTTACCCATCACCTGTACATCCATACGGGCTTCCTGGTAGACACCATCTTTTCCAAAAAGGCACCGGTACTGCCCATCATCTGATGGTCTGGCATCGTGTATCCGCAGGGTCAGATTTCCTTCATGGATGGCGTCACTCATCACCACAGTTCTCCCTCTGTATCCCACCATCTGCTCCTCAGCCGAGTGGGCCCCGTCCACATACACGTGGACTGCGGGGTAATAGTGGGATCGGACCCACCTCACCTCCATGCTCTGAGCGTCAGTTCGAGGTGACAGGTGACAAGTTAATTCTATGTTTTCCCCGACTTGGACAAGGATGGGCTGGGAAGGTCCAATCACCCTTGAGGAAGCTGTTAAATACACCAGACAGAGAACAAGAAATGAACCAACATGGAGAAGTAACTCTACAACACGGACTTCTTATGTGAGGTTCAGAACCTGCAAAACCCCAGGGGAGGTATGAGGCTCAGGGTCACTCTTGGAGGAGGGTGGGACTCACGGTCTTAGGATGCCAGTGGTCCTTGTTTAAGGAAGAGCCTTGCTAGTCTGAAGAGAACACTAGTTACAGCCCAGGCTACACACCACTAATGGAATGATTTTACTGCTAAAACTCTCAGAATAAAATGAATATTCTGTCACTTCAAATCTGGCTGACTTTACGTACTGAATCAGTCCATGTCTCAGAGTTTTAAACTGTAAAATGTACCTACTGCTACTCAAATCCTAAGGTAGTTGTGGGACTAAGCAAAGGCTCTTGGGTGACCATGCAGTGGGAGCAGAGGTTAGATTGGGAGATGTAAGGGTGCAGGAGCCCATACTATCCTCTGGTCAGCGGCTAAAAGTGAGTGCCAGGAGGGTGTGTAGCAACAGAAATCGAAGAAGCCCTTCCCTACACCAGTATGTGAAGGAGGCTGCGGAGGTCTGTGCCCTGCCATTCCCTTCCCACGCTAACTTAACCAGCACCAGGGAGAGCCCTGTCTCCCCTTTTCCTGGGGATCATGAGGTGTCCTGGCTGTTTTCCACACTCTGCCCTCCTCCAGGGAGGGGTGTGCATGAGAATCTCACTCACCCAGCTCTGTCTGGAGTTTCTCTGGAGAAAGAAAAAGAAAAACATTTTAAGGAATTTGGTCTAAAGGAAAGGAAAGAAAATATCTCCAGAAATAAAAGTAAGCTTTACATTTTATTTAAGAACTCAATTTACTTAAAAAATATGAAAAGCAGAAAAATAATTCTTCCCCATGGATCATCTGGTGATACAGATTTTACTTTTTTCACAACAAAAAGCTGTCAGTTCTATCACCATCAACTCAGTTTGCTTTGGCTGATATTAAGTGCTAGTAAAAAATACACATTTTTATAAATGCATGCTAAATATGAAATATATGGTCACAAACAAGTATCACTTAGAATTCCAAACCAGGACTATATGACACTGATTGACACCACATTTACTTTGCTTACATCAGCAACACATCCAAACAGAGTGTCCTAAAATCTCACTTCAATTTAAGGTATTTACAGACGATACTCATCACATAATAGCAATGTCTAGGTTGGCACGTCAGCTCATGCCTATAGTAACATAATAACAACCCCTTAGAGGCTCAGCCAAGAGGATTGCTGTGGGTTTGAAGCCAGCCTGGAGCACAAAGTGAGATTGTCTCAAAAGAAAAAGAAATGCCTATTCTAGATAGAAATAGATAGACAGATAGATGATAGATAGATAGATAGATAGATAGATAGATAGATAGATAGATAGATGGATAGACAGATAGATAGACAGACAGGTAGATGGATAGATAGATAGATAGATAGATAGATAGATAGATAGATAGATAGATAGATAGATAGATGACAGACAGGTAGATGATAGATATTTAGAAAGACAGGTGATTGATAGATGATGATATTATAGATAGATGATAGGTCAATGATTAATTAATAGATGATAGATTAATAGATGATGGTGATTGGTAGATTTGTGATATCTAGGTGGTGGATTAGATATATGAATGATAGATAAATGATGGATAATTAACAAATAGTTGGCAGATGGATATATGATAGATTATTGATAGATTAGTAGGTAGATAAGATAGGTAGGTAATAGATGATGCTAGATGGTAAGTAGATCTGTATCATTGAGCATAAGGATTTTCTGGGCTCTCAAAATCATTCAGGGCTTCTCTCCATCCCAGCTCTAACTTCTAACAACACATGAAACATACCTCACCCCTAATGTATTGAGTGTTTTGATTATTGTTTTTGTTACTTTTTATTGACTATTTTGTTACTATTTATAATTAAGAAGCTGTCAAAGAAACCACCCCATTCTGACTAAGCACATGATTGGTTCCTGGAGGTAACTGGCACAGCACAGGACAATGTCTCAGCTGGAGGAATATTTTTATTACATTTCCAATGTATTGAACGTCTGCGAGGAAAAATCAACACTGAATTACAATGTAGAACTTGAAAATTACTGAAATACTATGAACTGCCATCTGATCAAAATGCACTCACTACATGCTTTTCTGGTATAAATGTTTATGAATTTTAACATATTATTTAAATACAATCAAATAAAACATGAGTTACTGCTGAGCAGCATCCCCAACCTTTCAGGGTGCCTGAGGCAGAGCACTGACCTGGCAGGGCAATGGTGGCCTCCTTGGCCTCCTTGAGGCCATGGTTGTAGATGAGGCAGGAAATGGTCTCTGAAGTGTCATTCCTGACCACTAGTGTGTCTTCCACGTAGAACAGCCCATCTTCACCCAGCACGTGATTCTCAGAGAAACTCAACAACTTTTCTTCCCTGGTGTCTTCCCAGTAGACCTCGGGCACAGGGAACCAGCCCTGGGATGTGCACACGAGCTGGACCCCTCCATCTCCAGGTCCCTTCACGTGGATGTTTGGGGAAGATCCTAGAGCTGGAGAGAGAGAGAACATCCTTGAAGCTCAGAGCCCACAGAGGGAGCTGAGACCCCGAGTCCTTCACAGGGAGGAAGTGGGAGCCCAGGGCCTGGAAGCAGGCAGCATTACCAGGAGTTCTTCCCACCAAGTTCTAGTTTTTTGTTTGTTTCTCAGTCTGTGTCTTTAAACTTTAGCATCTGACCACACTTTTCTTTGGACTTAGATGGTGAAGAGGGAGAGGAGGAAAACTTGACAGAATTTGTTTTGTGTCTCTGGTGCTGTGAAGAAGATGTGGTGTGAAAATGATGTGGTGTGAAGAGTGGTGTGAGGATGTGGTGAGAAGATGTGGTGTGAGGATGTGGTGTGAGGATGTGGTGTGAGGATGTGGTGTGAGGATGTGGTGTGAAGATGTGGTGTGAGGATGTGGTGTGAGGATGAGGTGTGAAGATGTGGTATGAAGATGTGGTGTGAGGATGTGGTGTGAAGATGAGGTGTGAGGATGTGGTGTGA